AAGGGCTTAAAGAATTTGACTCCGATAACTCCGATGTAAGTCCGATTAACAGGTAACTCCTAGTAAGCTCCAATAGACCTTCCATCTCACTCAATCTCTTATTAAGCTCTGACGCATTTTTCTTTTACTAAAAGGGGCATGCCCTGAAGGATGACAGATGTATAATTTTTAACCGATAAAAAAACAGAATGTGCCAGATAAACGATTAAGACCACGAACAATAACATTACCAAAGCGGGTGTAGCTGAATGATGAAAGGGAACTATAATAAAGAAAACAAACGAAGCTGTATTACTCCAGGTTGTACAGTGGAATCCCGTTAATACGACCACCTTCTGGCGATGGAAAATTGGTCGCTTTAACGGGGTGGTCGTATTAAAGGGGTTCTTTAAATGAGAAAATGACTGACTGAGCTTTTTTGGGCTGGAATAAAGTGACCGTAATAAGGAGGTGGTCGCATTAACAGGGTGGTCGTAAGGCGGGGTTCCACTGTATCAACAAAAAGATCTCCTAAAAAAATTTATCTTTTTGTGTATTAGCTGTTCATCACATCAAAAATCGTTGCAATTAGATGGCTTCTTCGCAGGTCCTCCTTCCACGACTTTTCAGGGTGTGTTGCTTAACGAAGTGTTCGTTTTCGCCTCAGTACTTGTCATCGTGCGAAGATACCGTCGGGTGATTTTTAAGACCCTTCTTGAAAGGACGGCAAAATAAACAATTCTAAACGATACGAACGATACGTTTAATTAGAAGTCACTCGGCAGTGAAAGGTCAAACTATCTGGGTAAAGCCATCGTTTGATATGACAACGAGAAATGTTCGCAAGTTTCGAAACACAACATGCTCATGCCCAAGTTCTGTTTGTTACGCTAATTCACGGACAGGAAGAAACGACGTCGTTTCCGGTCTCCTGCACCCCCGGAATCGCTTCAGTGACAAGAGAATGCACCGGAGCTTGCATGCTTCTCTTTTCCGCTTTGTGTGTAAGTGGTTAATTTTATCTACAGGTGACGTAGTCGTCTGTCAACCAATCAAAGTCGCTCAAAAGAATCCAAACAGGTTTGTAAACTGGATATTACAAGAATCAAATGTATTTGGGAGTTGTCAGTTCATCTTGATACTCTGAGCCATAGCTCGTAATCAACGAAGGAATCGAGCAACCTGAACCATGGGTCGCTTTTTGCTGACAGTCGCTGCTTTTCTTGTGCTAGTAGCAGCAGGTGAGTGGTTATATTGTCAGGAGTAGTCAGTTGAGTCACTAGTCGTT